GAAGACTGCACACAGGGCAAAGCGCACTTCACAGAAGTCTTCATCTTAACCGGCCACGTCACCCCCAGTGTGAAAAGGCAGGAAGCACACATCTTAGCGGGCCAGAGCCAGAGCGAGTTCTGGACCCAGTGGGCCACGATGCCAGAGGGGCACGCAGCGGAACCTGCTGTGTCTGTTCACACTCCCTAGCGTGAATAAGCATTCAGGTGACAGCTCCCTGACACTGGAAGGGGACTGGTGGCCAGCATGAGAGCGCCATCTTCTGGTTGGTGAAAGGGAATGAAATGGACAGAGTCACCAGGAAAGCTAAAGCACCCGGGCAGGTTTGGAAACCAAGAAGAGTGGCAACTGGAAATGTCACTTCTGCAAAATCTGAACAACATATGAAGTCAGTCCACACTCTCAACACACCAATTCCATGAAAAGATGCCACCGAAGGTCACACAGGCTCCCCACTTCCCACCCTGCCTTAGGAAAGGCCTATGGTCTGCGCTCTCTCTCTCTCTCTCTCTCTCTCTCTCTCATACACACACACACACACTCTCTCTCTCTCACACACACACACACAGATACACACACACACACACACACACACACACACACACTAAACAATCTCTGTGGCTCACACATAAAGCTTACATTTGAAAATTTGAGGACGGCAGCAATCGAGGCCCATGGTATCCAGCCCTTTCCAACCTGAGCTCCCGCCAACTCCAAGTTACGAATAACCATCCATCCTCTCAATGGAGTCTTACGGAGCTGAGGACCAGATGGAGGAGTTACCGACCACTCAGCATTTCCTCTGAGTTCCCCCAAATCATAGGACTTCTGGTAGACTGTGTCAGAAACGGATCTAGGGCCTGAGGTCCAAACGGACGTTCTGCCACTAGAGAAATCCCAACCGAGGGGGGAGAGAGAAAGAAAACAGAGCGAGAGTCGTCCCAGCCGGTCCCATCAGGGAAACACCGGTGCTGACAAGCAGCCTTGAACTACTTGCTTCTTATGCTGCCAGCACGGACCTCAGCGACTCATTTCCGGGTCTGCTCCATCCAAGTCCAGCCCAACCCACAGGTCAAATGGAGCCTGGGGGTAATTGGGAGGGGGGTGTGCCCTTGCCCTGATTCACCCATCAGGCATGCCACTCCTTGCAAAAAGCACAGATATCTCATCCCTTCAGAAGTCCTAGACTTATGGGGGCTGGAGCGATGGCCCAGCAGGTAGGTAGACAGGTAGGGCATTTGCCTTGCACGCAGCTGACCCCATTTCCAACCCCGGCATCCCATATGGTCCCCAAGTCCTGCCAGGAGTGATTCCTGAGTACAGAGTCAGGAGTAAGCCCTGAGCATGGCCGGGTGTGGCCCAAAAACTAAAAAAGTGGAATCACTTTTTTGAGAGTAGCGCCCTTTCCTCCCTCTTTTTGTTATTTTGCCCTTGAATATATAACAGACTTTCCCTTATCTTCAAACAGTCTCTGTGATAATAAAGGGCTGTGGAGAAGTCGGTCTCCAAGTTTTCCTGTTACATGCTGGTGTCTGTTCTTCCCTCAGGAGCAATCTGCTCCTTGTCCTCACAGGCAGTATGAAAACAGGTCTCGGGGGAGAGGAGGTACAGCACGTAGGGCTCCTGCCTTGCATACGGCCCCGAGCCCGCCAGGCGTGATCCCCAAGCGCAAAGCCAGGTGCAAACCCTGAGCACTGCCGGGTATGGCCCCCAAACAAATGCACCAACAAATATAACGTAGAAATACTCATCTACAGAGCAAACAACTGAAAGGAAACACAAACCAGGATACCTTTAGTATTTATGTCCAGATTTTGAGACCCTGGCTAAATTCGCTTCACACTTTTAAAACACTTTCCCATTTTCAACAAGGTCGATTTACTTCTAAAATAGGGAACGGGAGAGAACCAAAAGCCCTTTTTTCACCAGAGATATTACCATTATACTGGAAAGGTTGACTCAATATTCAGAGAGGGCATCATGAAGAAAACACTCAGGGCCAGAGAGCGGGGAACCTCAAACACAAACTTCAAGCCGGCGCTTTGGAGAAGAAACGAGCCAGGAGAACCCAGAGGCGCACCTCCACCAGCTGCGGGAGCCCGGGGCACACCACTGACAGGGCAAGCCCTCCAGCAGCCAGGCAGGGCGCAGCCCAACCCGTGGCAAAGAGGAAGGGGCACCGGAAAGGGAGGAAGTAAACCAAAGCGTGCTCTCTAAGAAGCTCCTGTGAGAGCGAGTCTCAGAGAGACCTTACGCCATCTTTGGCAGGCCATCAGGCCCCAGAGGGGAAGAAGGCTGAACTGCGACTTGTGTGAGTGCAGTTCACAGGGACACACCCCGACACCAGGCAGCCCTCGGGCCTCAACGCAGCAACAGACAAAAAAGAGCAGGAATCAAACCCACGGTGGAAGGATTTTAACTTCTACCTCCTTTTATTCTGATTTGATATAATTAGAATTAAAAGGTTTCCTGGAAAGAGAGAACTAACTTTCAGGGCTGAAGAGAGCGAGGAGGGCACTTGCCCTGCACGCAGCTGCCCAAGATCGACCCCTGGCATCCCATATGGCCTCCCGAGCACTGCCAGGAGTGATTCCTCGGTGCAGAGCCCTGAGAAAGCCTTAAGCACCGCCGGGGTGGCCCAAACACCAGAGAAAGAAAAAAACAGAGAACGTTCTCACATTCAAGATGTTCAAAGTGGCTTCAAGCCCAGGTCAAACACGGAGCTCCCTTGCTTGTCTGTTTCTCTGCCGGCGCGTTTCCACTCCAGACAAGCCCGCGTACTCTCCTGGACATCAGCTTCCTCTTTCCCTCCCTGCACCTTGCTGAACAAGCTTCAATTAAGAATACCTTGTTTCACAAAAAATAAATTCAAGACCAAAAACATTTCTTATGCCTAGCATTAATTCTCAAAGGTATATGATAGATGTCAGTGAAAAGGGAGCTTCTTAGTTATAAGTCAAAAACTGCGTGTAATGGAGCCAAAAAGCTATTACAAGCTGCTACATAAATAGGCATTTAATGATTTTTCCCAATGTTACATTATTGATCAAACAGGCCCTTGGTTTCCATTGAAATGAACAAGTAATTTGTTTAAGGTAACAGTAATAGAATTCGTACCACATTAACTACGCTACGTCTTCGGCATTATCAGAACGACCGATATATAAAACAAATTTTACACTGGGGAGGGAGCAGAATGCAGGGGGACCCTTCACCGAGATGCAGGAGTTAGAATCTGGGGAAGGAGTTCTGCTTTGGTATCTCTGGGTCACACTTAACCTTAATCACACTTAACCCTCTCTAAGCTTCAGGGTGCCTGTACCTCCCCACCCCCGCCCCCAACACACACACACACACACACACACACACACACACACACACACACACACACTCCTAAAATTCCCTTTAGCTCTGAATAATTCGGATCCTTTGGAGACTATCAAAACCATCTTTCTGGGCATGGTGGGAGGATGGATCAGAGAAATAAAGAGAGCTAAGCAAATGCTTCAGAAGCAACATCATTCACACCTTCCACCCAACATGACTTCTGTGTTCCAGAAGTGCATTTCGCAGGAAAGTCTGTATTAGATCAGCATAATAAAAGTTCAAAGCCACGCCAAGCCAATTACACACATAATCTCGGTAACTGAAGTTCATACAAAGTCTACAGAGATAAGCGGAGCTGATGGAGATGAACCATGGATCCAGGCCACGCAGCCGCGGGAGGCCAGTGTCTGTCTTTCAGCTTGGGAATAGCCTGTATTTCTGCACAGCAGGAGACCTGGGTCTGTTGGTTATAAAACAGTCTATGGTCCTGCAACGCCACATAGTGGGGGCTGGGGAGGGGAGAGGCCAACACAGACACACATGGAGGTGCCAGAGCTGGGGGCAGGAGTGAGTGGGGAGTGGAAGAGCTGACCACCGTTCAGTGTCAGGAATCAAACCTGGAGTTACCTCACGTCAAGCATGCCATCTCCCTGGCCCTCACATAATCATACTCAGAGTACACCAAAGTACTGCGTCAAAATTTGCATGTTTAACGATACTTTCACATGTATTCATATTACAGTTAGTTTTATTATGTGGCACTTGGTTAAATTAAGAAAAAAGTACCTAGAAGGGAACCAGAGCGATAGTCAGTGATAATACAGCAACAGTACAGCGGGGAGAGCGTTTGCCTTGTACACAGTTGACCCAGGTTCGATCTCCAGCACCCCTTATGGTCCCCAAGCCTGTCAGAAGCAGTCACTAAGTGCAGAGTCAGGAGTGACCCCTGAGCACCGCCAGGTGTGGCCCAAACCACCCCGCCCCCCAGTAAAGAAAAAAGTAACTAGATACAAGGCTAAAAAGTGGGGAGAAGGGAAGAAGAAAAACTTTCTCAAGCAGACAGACCAGGTACATAAATAAATGCTCTGCATCACTGATCATCAGGGAAAAGCAAGTCAAGGCAACAGGAGGTCTCACCCACCCTATGCCAATGAGACTGGAACACACTGAAATGAATCGAAACAGTAAGCGCTGATCTGGATGCAGGGAAAGGCGCCCCAGCCCTTTCGGAAAACAACCTGGACACGTCTCAAGAAGAGAGAAAAAGAACTGAGCTTCCACACGACCCAGCCGCCTCACTTCTGGGCCCCCACCCCAAGGATCCGCACGGCATGGCTTTCTGGCGGACCCCCCGCCCCGCCAACTTGCACTTACCAATTTGCCAACTTACCAATTCTCAAAATAAAGTTTCGTCACACACGGGGAAAAGACCAATGAGAAAGGAACAGGCTGGCAGTGAAAGTGAGGAGGGAAAAATGTACATCCTCATGAATCGATATTGTCTGATTTTATCAGCTATACGTGAACCTTAATTATTTACGTGACAAACTGGACCCCAATCACACAGCACTGCTGGTCACATCAGCTGAGTGAGCCAGGTACTTGAACGGTGGAGGAGAAGGAGCAGGAGCTCCCACTGCAGAGATGACACAGACCTATGTCTGAACACTCACCGATTTGTACCTGGTCAGGCTGGCTGAGAGAAACAAATGCCGAAGTGTCATCAATCCAGGAGATCTGAATGTTACCTAGAAGAGGAAATTGATAGTGGGCTGGAGCGATAGCACAGCAGGTAGGGCGCTTGCCCTGCACGTGGCCGACCCAGGTTCGATTCCCAGCATCCCATATGGTCCCTGAGCACTGCCAGGAGTAACTCCTGAGTGCAGAGCCAGGAGTAACCCTGTGCCTTGCCGGGTGTGACCCAAAAAGTAAAGGTAAAGGTAAAGGCCCTCCCGTTGATCGTCGATTTGCTCGAGCGGGCCCAGTAACGTCTCCATTGGAGACTTTGTTGTTACTGTGTTTGGCATATCGAATACTCTCGGTAGCTTGCCGGGCTCTCCGAGACCCAAAAAGTAAAAAAAAAAAAGAGTAAATTGATAGTCCAGTGAACGGGGATTATTTCACAGCTACAGATTTGATTTGTATATTGCAGTGGTTAAAGTACTTCAGAGAGAGGTGAGACACTAGGTGGGCCGGAAATCTAATCAGGAATTCAGCACTACAGAGCTTGAAACTTCAAGAGGAGAGAGAAACTGGGGGATGAGTGAGGGGGAGGATGGTGCAAAGCTACTAAAAAAAACTGTTTTAGGGACCAAAGTGATAGTACATCAGGGAAGTCATTTGCCTGCACACAGCCAACCCGGGTGTAATCCCTGGCATCCCATACGGTCCTCTGAGCACTGACAGGAGTAATTCCTGAGTGCAGAGCCAGGAGTAACCCCTGAGTACCACCAATGTGGGACAGAAAGGAAAAAAGAAAACAAAAAAGTTTGTTTTAAAAACAAAAGAATGTTCCCTCAGAGTTAAGTTCTGGACTCAAGGTTGTAAAGATCACTAACAAAACTCAGAGACCAAATAGGTTCAAAAATACAACTCTTTTCAACCAGAGGGTTAGTACAGAGGGTAGGGCACTTGCCTTGCACGCAGCAGACGACATGGGTAACCGAGATCCCACATGGACCCCAAACAAGCACCATCAGGAGGGATTCCTGAGTGCAGAGCCAGAAGTAAGCCCTGGGCACCACTGGGTGTGGCCCCCAAACCAAACCAAACCTAAAAAACCCCAGCTCTTTCAAAAGACAGAATTTAACAAAAACAAAAAACCATGGGGGGCATAGGGAGGGAGGTGTCCACTTGAGCACGAACTGAACCAATATAGCAAGACACAAGAAACATACAATGTTGGCTAAAGAAAAGCTGCATGATGAAAAACGAACAAGGAGAAAAGGCACAGAGAAAGGAGTCCCTCCTGAAGGGAGAGAGGAGGGGGGAAGGAAGCAGGAGAAACAGACACAGGCAGAGGGATCCGGGCAGGAACAAGAACTCATGGGAGGGAAGTTGGAGGCAAGAGAAGCCCAGACTGTGGTTCTCCTACAACACCTGGGTCGATTTTTTTAAAGTCAGCATCACTAGAATTTACCACTTAAAAAGAAACTTAACTCCTAAAAATTTTCAGTGGCTAGAAATACTTAAAAATTCCCTTGTTTTAGAGAAGGGAGCACCAAGTAAAGGGCCTTGGGAGGATCCGCCCAGGATGGGAGATGCATGCTGAAAGTAGACTATAGACCAAACATGTTTGCCACTCGATGCCTCTTTTGCAAGCCACAGCGCCCAAAAGGAGAGAGAGAACAAAAGGGAATGCCCTGCCACAGGGGCGGCGTTGCGATGGGGGAGTGGGGGGTGGGAGGGATGCTGGGACCTGTGGTGGTGGGGGATGGGCACTGGTGGAGGGATGGGTACTCGATCATTGTATAACTGAAAGCCAAGCACAAAAACTTATAAGTCCACAACTGCCCCTCATGGTGCTTCACTAATTAAAAACAAACAAACAAACAAAAACTGCCTTGTTTCACTGTCAGAAAAACAAAACAACAAAAAGACACCCTCCGTTCCTACTGCACTGATGTGCCAAACGGACTCATCATTTTTACTATTATTACTTCCTTCACAAGGAAACAAAATACAGAGGCGACTAGCTCAATGTCACACAACAAATTTTGTTTTGCATTAAGATGGAAAAAAATTTAAGAGAGTATTTTTACTTCAGCTAATTAATTCAAGCTTAACAAAGTGATTAAAAATGCAACAAGACAAGAAATAACAGTTTTTTAAGAAATGAACCTTTGGGGCTGGAGAGATAGTACAGCGGGCGGGTAGGGCGTTTGCCTTGCACGCGGCCGACCCGGGTTCGATTCCCAGCATCCCATATGGTCCCCTGAGCACCGCCAGGAGTAACTCCTGAATGCAGAGCCAGGAGTAACCCCTGTGCATTGCCGGGTGTGACCCAAAAAGAAAAAAAAAAGAAACGAACCTTGAAGTTCAGTTGCATTTATTTTATTTATCTGTATTTAAATCTGAAAAGCAGAACTAGTAGTCATTTGACTTGACTCTCCTCAAAGATTGGGCTAACTTTCCAAAAACGTTAACTGCTTTCTCACTCGCTTCTCTGAAAATCTAAGCCTGTAAAGCTTTTTCACTTATAAAACCTCATATAGCCACTTATTTTAGAAAATACAGAAAGGCATAAGAAGGGAAAAACTAAATCTTATCTAAAACACTCAATGACAATAAAATGACACTTCCTTTTATTCTGGATTCTATATAATCTTTTTTAGTAGCCTTAAGGAACCCACCTTGTCTGATTTTTATACTAAATAATAAAATACTAGTCTGTTGAGATAACTAAACATTTACTAAACATTCTTATTGAGTCTTTAGGTTTTTGCTGTTATACAAGAATTTTCAAAGAGAAGCGCTTAAATCATTTGTTAAAATAAGACAGACATTACTAAAAATGTCCTGTCAGAATGTTTTTTTCTAAACCCTAATCAATGTTCCCCCTACCCTCAACGCAAAAATAAATAAATAAATAAAATGAGCAAGGGAGAGGGGGAGTTTGGGGCCACACCTAGCTGTGCTCAGGGCTTACTCTTGACTGTGCTCAGAATCACTCCTGGCGGGGCCTGGGGACCATATGGGGTGCCAGGGATCAAACTCAGTCTGACTGTGAGCAAGGCCAGCGCCCTCCCAGCTGCACCATCTCTCTGCCTCAAGACTGCTGAATTTAACTTACTTAACTAACCCAAACACACTACCCTCCATCCCGATCGTCCATCTCAGCCCTCCAAAACATCTGGTTTCATCTACTCTGACTAACAAGTAGGTCTGCCCCATGAAACAGATATTCCCTCTGCTTTGAATCTTGGAAATGAGCTGTCCTCACTTCCAAACTTTTTACTTTCCTTGGTCAGCAGTAAAAGCTGGCATAGTAATTACAGCTTGACTTCCATGGATTAACAGCACTCTGTGCTAGAGAGCTATTAAAAGTTCCTCAGAGCACAAAGATAGCCATGCACCAAACTCCCAACTATTCCGACAATGGGATTTAACCTTGCATGTCGATGTTATGGGATGCGCATGCCGAAGCCGCTGGTATCGTCTCTGGCCTCCCAGATGAAAATGACAGCAGGATCCTGAACATCTGCCTCTGTGACATACTCACCAAAGGCACTGAAGAGCTGGTACAGATCACTGGTTTTCCACTCTTTGGGGAAGGTCACGTGGAGAACATGGTCGCGTTTAGGCTGCACTACAAGGCAAATTTTTGAGAAAGGTTGACAGCGGAACGGGAGGTTCTCAGGTGAAAGGAAACAAGCTGACTTGGGGAATGGCCATGAATGCTTCCTGTTTACAAACAATTCTTGGAAGTTCTCAAGACTGGCGGGTGCTGAGATTCCAATTCTTTACAGACGCCGCAACAAGCAGAAACCGAGCGACTCTAGCAACGCTTTCTCTCAGACGGTTCCCAGGCAGTTTCTCAAGGGGGCGGGTGGGGGAAGCCTGGTCCATTCAAGAGGCTTCGCAAACATTTCACTTTCTCCTTCCAATTTAGCTGCCCACATGTTCGCTTTTTCAAAACATAACACACCGGCCAATTAAATGGGCTGCTGGTGCTTCGGCAGAGGCAGAGTCTTAATCCTGGGTTCTACTCCCGAGCTGCCCGCTTAACTGTGCCAATCTGGGCAGGAGACTCGACCACTCGGATGGCACCTGGCGCTAACCCCAAGGACTATATTTAGTTGGCAGCCTCCTCGAGAGAATGACAGGTTCACACGGGGATCTGGAAGAGCGGGCAATAAACTGCGCCCTCCAACTCCCCTTGCAATGACAGCTCCCACCCACTGCTACCTCCCGAGGGCTCGTACTAAGGCAAGCAAACCAAGACAAGGAGAGAGCAATAAGAACTGGAAGGGTGATGTGAAAAAAGGTGGGGCCACACGCAGAAGCAACAGCAACCTTCGCCCAAGGACATTACTAGCCTTCTGCGGTGTTTTCAGTCAGGAGAAAAAATAAAATAAACAAAAAAAACCCTGCTAATCCAATGATATACATGCTCAAATAGCTGGAAAATAAAGAACTCACTGAGTTACGACATTGCAAGTATATCTTAAAAATTTATTATTGGGGCCAGAGTCACAGTACGGCAGGGAGGGTGCTTGCCCTGCATGCAGCCGACCCAGGTTCAATTCCCCAACACACCTGAGCACCATCAAAAGTGATTCCTGCATGGTTCCCTGAGCACCACCAAAAGTGATTCCTGCATGCAGAGCCAGGAGTAAGCCCTGAGCACCACTGATTGTGGCCACAAAACAGACAAACAGACAAATCTATTATGGGGCCAGAGTGATAGTACAGTGGGTAGGGTGCTTGCCTTGCACCTGGGTTGATTTTGGCATCCCGAGCACCACCATAAGTAATTGAGTGGAGGCAGAGCCAGGAGTAATCCCCGAGCATTGCCAGTGTGACCCAAAAAGGAAAAAAAAAAACCTATTATGTATCTTTGTTAGACATCATCAATTTAAGTATCTGATATAAATTATGAGTTCTGAGTAAAAAGAAATGAGAAGGCATTTTTTAATTCAATTATGCATCAACTGGAAAATAGAAGTAAAGAGTTGAGTTCATAAGAAGCCCCAGGGTGTCATTAACTTAAGCATATCAACCGCAGAATCACTGCCCATTTTTAAGTGAACAAAACTCCTTCAATATTTTTCCCATTAGCCCTTCCAGACCACTCACTCCAAATATGCAGACACAATGAGAAAATAAAATTCACTTACAGTCGGGTCCTTCCAAGTTTAGGTACGGGATATCCATGACTCTCATAAGAAATAACCTAACAACAAGAAAAACAACAAATTTTTTAAAAACCAACAATACAGGCATCTATTAATGTTCTTAGTAGAAGTTTCTTGATTGTGTTAACCTAGTTCTAAAGTTAAAGGTTGCATAACTCACTCCCAAGGCTTTTCTCTGAAACTAAATAGTTATCATAAATAGGAGAACAAACACCTACAAGAGTTCGATTCCCAGCATCCCATATGGTCCCCCAAGCACCGCCAGGAGTAATTCCTGAGTGCATGAGCCAGGAGGAACCTCTGTGCCTTGCTGCGTGTGACCCAAAAAGAAAAAAAAAAAAAGAATTTCCAGCACTCAGTTGCTGCTAAATAAACAAAATTAGTAATAGATGAATCAAAAAAAGCTCTCTGCACAGCCACCTTGTTGGGCCAGAGAAAGAGAAAATAAATGAGAGTGCTAGCCAGTTTGCTGGGTCAGGAGTAACTATGCCGACAAACAGTAAAGGTAACTGGTGTTTTCTGAGCTGAGGACGGTTTCTTTTCCTTTTTTCCTGAAGCACAATCACTGGACTAACTACCTTAGTGTGTGGACTGCACAGTCTGTAACCAATGAGCAAATCTGCTGTGATCTCTAAGTGGTCAGTGTACTGGACTGTGAGAATAGTGACCATCGCAAGAGCTCGCGCTGCTCACCAGAGTCATTTAAAACCGGAGCGGTGCAGTGGAAGTGAGTCTCCGTGACAAGACTAGCACCAGGCTATCAGCCATCACAGTCCACAGACCCCCTTCCACAATAGACTCTGAAGCTAGGTGCACTCACTGCAAAGCCATTTAATTCAGTTTCCAGATGACGGACAAAATAGCAGGCATTTTCTTGTTTGGAGGGTAATTTTTAGTTAGGATTTTTATTTTTAAAAGCTAATGATGTCCCTGCATGGCCCTGGTAGTCTGCGAGATTCAGCAAACTGCAAAGGCAATCCAAGTATCCAACAAGCAATTAGTTTGGCTTCACTGACCCGCAATTAAGATGCACTACTACCAGGCATTCAAAAGCCAAGCAAGACATGATCAAGTTTACAACTGGAACTACCAGGAAAAATAACACTGTTCTCCTAATGCCAGAAAAAAACAAAGCCATGGATTCTGTGGTTTGAGAACTTGTTGCTCAACCTAAAATTTAATGAACCAAATCCTATAGCGATGAAGATAAATTTATTTTTAGTTCACTAACATAGGTTGAAGGGTATTATTCTGATCTGGTCATTTATTTTACTAAATTCGACCATCACTACCTATAAAGTCAGAAGACAATGGGAACCAAGCACACAGTAGGTTCTCAAAGACAGTGGCTGTTAACTACTTTTGCCCACTAGAACCTGGAAATTATTGTATTAGAAGGCTCAATATTTATATGCTTCATATAATTCTCAACTTTTCACTTAGTAAACGCGAAAATGATCCCATAACTCTACAACCCAAGTTTTAAAAAAAGCTTTACTAGATAGAACATATCAAGTACCATTGGAATAATTTAAGATTTTAACCCTAATTCCACTGGGAGACTAGATGTTGAATCATGAGGATGTTTACTACTCTGCTACCGAATATACCCATTGTCAAAATCAGCCTCAATATTCCGTGATTTGTGGGGGAAAAGAAGTTATCGTTCATCATTTCTATCATTTGTCTTAATCTATCTATGAAAACATCAAAATATAAATAAACTGTGGAAGAAATTTAAGTTTTAAAAATACACACAAAATTATATGTCATGGGGCTGAAGAGATAGCACAGTGGGTAGGGAGTTTGCCTTGCACACGGCCGACCTGGGTTTGATTCCCAGCATCCCATATGGTCCCCTGAGCACCGCCAGGAGTAACTCCTGAGTGCAGAGCCAGGAGTAACCCCTGTGCATTGCCGGGTGTGACCCAAAAAGAAAAAGAAAAAGAAATCGTCATGATTACAACTCTGTAAAGTATCTACATCAGTAATGAAGAAGAAAAAGGGGCCGGAGTGATAGTACAGTGGGGAGGGCACCTGCATTGCATGCAACTGACCCACGTTCCATCCCTGGCACCAGATATGGTCCCCATGCTCCACCAGGAGTGATCCTTGAGCTCAGAGACAGGGGGGAAGGTCTGAGCACTGCCGAATATGACCCAAAACCCAAAAATTTAGAATAAAAAGAAACCAAGGGGGGAAAAAAAAACCCCTTCACCACCCTGGAGAAGAAAAAGCAGCAACGGATGGCTTTGGAAAACTGAGCTGTTTTATAAAAAAATTTTTTTACTCTAGTTTTTAAAATATAAAAACTAAAAGCTGTGAGAGAAAAGTTACAAACTGAGAGGCCTGGGGCAAAGACTGGAAGCTTCTCTAGAGAAAGTCCCACTGACAGTAGCAGCTGCAGCCCCCCTGGCCCCTTGTCTGTATTTGCCTGTCCGGGGAAGTCCAAAGTAAGCAAAGCCACAGAGGCAGGTCTGTGACTGCTTCATTTCTTTTTCCAACGTTTCCTTTCTGAAACCAGGCACCATGCAGACAGAAAGGCCACTAAGAAGGGAGATCTCTCTACCAAATGATCATTAGGTAAATGTTCCAGAAAAAAAAAGTTTAAAAATATCTTCTGCCAAACAATATACAGGCAATTTCTTCTCTAATACTTACACTGATCTATAAAAATACCCTCGCTATTAAAAAAAACGGTGTCAGCAAGGACACTCGGAAGATTTTTGGGCCTGCCTTGTTTGCTTATTCAATCACCTAAATAAAAACCTGTTGTAAATGAATTATTAATAGCCTCCCGCTCTTCCCTTGCGGCCTCCAGGGAGAACAGCAGAGCCCAGGGCCTGAAGGACATGGAAACTGACTCTGTGTGACTTGGCAGGCGGCGCCTCTCGAGGGAGGCATGAGGCTGGGAGATGCGCTAAATCTGGAGCAAAGCGTCCGTGGTCACCAACGCCAACTCTCCCAATAGCCCGGCCCTTCCTGCCAGGTGGCTGGCGGGCCTGTGCCCTGCTCACGTCGCTGCCCTTCTAAAGTGAAAAAGATTTTGCTGTTTGGACCCTGCACAAACTGGCTCCCACAAGGACTTCCTGGGAGGGCTACCAGATCAAATGCTTCCTGTCTGGGTCCTCCTGACATCTTCGGAGCCACACTGGGCAAGCGGAAATGCTAGGGACACAGGAAGGACGCTCCTTCCCTGGGCACTGTAGGGCAAAACACCCTCTTCCCAACAAAGCTGTGAACAGCCCAGAGACACTTGGACCAATGCTGTGCAAAACCTCAATTCTCTCCTTTGTTTTGGGGGGGGGGGTGGCTGGAGCGATAGCACAGCGGGTAAGGTGTTTGCCTTGCACGCAGCCGACCTGGGTTCAATTCCTCCACCCCTCTCAGCTACTGAGAGTATCTAGCCTGCACGGCAAAGCCTGGCAAGCTCCCCATGACGTAGTCGATATGCCAAAAACAGTAACAACACACCTCACAATTTGAGTCCATTTGAGACGTTACTGGTGCCCGCTCGAGCAAATCGATGAACAATGGGAGGACAGTGCTGCAGTGCAGTGCTTTTCGGGTCACACTCAGCAATGCTCAGGGGTTACTCCTGGCTCTGCACTCAGTCCTGGCAGTGCTGGGGGAACCATACGGGATGCCGGGGATCGAACCCCGGTCAGCCACATGCAAGGCAAATGCCCTCCCCGCTTACTATCGCCCTGGCCCAAAACCTCATTTCTCATTCAGTGAGGACTCTGGCTGCCAGCAACCTGGTAAAGCCAGGCCACTGAGCCGGAATCGTGACCCAGTGTAGACAGCTTCCCCCCCACTGAAGAAGACTCCAATTCCCGTGGATGCGATGGCCACTTTCACACCAGCATCCAATCCTAAGAAGACTCAGGTTCACATGCTAGAGGCCACCAAACCAGTTACTCTTCAGCACACCTGACAGCAAGGCTTTGCAAGGATTCTAGGAGGACAGGACTGGGGTGAGTTCACCCTGACTCTCCAGCACACTGAGCTCCGGGTTGCGTCCCGAAGCCTCTCACTGGCCTGCACATGCAGCCACCTGCCAAGCACTATCCCTCTCCATGCACCCCTGCCCCCTGGCACTCACAGAGGCAAGCCAACAAGCTTTGCCCTGGGAGCAGTAAGAAACCCTCACCCGAATGCGAGAGGCCAGCACGCCCCAGAGGACTGCCTCTAAGGGACCAGAGAGATAGTACAGTGGGTAGGGCACTTGCCTGGCAAGTGGCAGCCCTGGGTTCAATCCCCAGCACCCCAAATGGTCCCTCGAGCCTGTTAAGAGTGATCCCTAAGCCCAGAGCCAGGAGTAAGTCCTGAGCACCTCCAGGCATGGCAAAAAAAAAAAAAATTGCCTTGACAGCTGGAGCACAGTGGGTAGGTCTTTTGCCTTTCATGCGGCCGACCCAGGTTCAATCCCTGGCATCCCACGGGTCCTCCAAGCACTGCCAGGAGTGATTCCTGAGTGCAGAGCCGGGAGGAACCCCTGAGCATTGCCAGGTGTAATCCAAAAAAAAAAGAAATGCATTTTAACAGGAAACTTCCTGAAGAAAGCCTGAGGCTTATCAAAATGTGGATCCCCAAACCCTCATTCTGGCAGAGACTGGGACGTGTCCCTTTCCCACCCTGCAACAGTTCAGCTGGTTCCAGAGCTGACAGGACAAGGGGAGGGAGAAGATTTACTGTTACTAATGAAGGCCCAGCCATCAGCTAGATTCTAATCACTCGCACCAACTTCTCGGAAACAGTATGAGGGAGTGATCTGCTTGCCCTAAACATCTCAGCTTAGGGAAACAAAACTATTCAAACAAATGCCACAGCCTCCTCAAAACCCAAAAAGCAGTGACAAAGGCTTTTCCAACTCCTGAAACCAGGGGGCCCGCTGAGGCGGCAGAGAGGTTCTCTGCGGGGGAGCTGGAGGGCCATTGGAGCTGACAGGAGGCGGAAGGGCTCTTAACCCTCTCCCGGCTGCCCACATGGCAGCAGTTCAAGGCTGGTGTTGTGACCAGCCGCAAATGCAAGCCCT